GCAATCCCTCTATTCCCGGCCTATTTGTGTATCTGTCAAAATGCCTCATAAATGTTGCTATTGTATCCGCCTCCACCACCTCCTCTGGCAGCACATTCCAGGCACTTACCACCCTCTGTGTAAAAAAAACCTGTCTCACACATGTCCTTTAAACTTTCCCCCTTTTACCTAAACCTATGTCCCCTAATAATAGACATTTCTACCCTGGGACAAAGAGTCTGACTTTATCTGTACCTCTCATAATTTTGTAAACTTCTATCAGGTTGCCCCCTCATCCTTCAATATTCAAGTGAAAACAAACCAATTTTTCCCAATCTCTCCTTGTAGCTAATACCCTCCAGACCAGGCAACATCCTGAAACCATTTCTGAACCCTCTCCAAAGCCTCCACACCCTCCTTGTAGTGAGGCAACCAGAACTGTACACAATATTCCAAATATAACCTAACTAAAGTTCTATACAGTTGTAACATGACTTGCCAATTTTTATACTCTATGCCCCAAACAATGAAGGCAAGTATGTTATATGCCTTCTTGACCACCTTATTCACTTGTGTTGCCACTTTCAGGGAACCGTGGACCCTGTATGCCTAGATCCCCCCTGTATGTTGATGCTACTAAGACTGCCATTTACTGTGTATTTCCCTCCTCCATTAGACCTTCCAGAATGCATCACTGCACATTTGCCTGGATTAAACTCCATCTGCCATTTCTGTGCCAAAGTCTTCAGCCTATCTATGTCCCGCTGTATCCTCTGGCAATTCTCCTCACTATCTGCAGCTCCCCAATCTTTGTGTCCTTTGCAAACGTACTAATCAGGCCACCTACATTCTCCTCAAAAACATTTATACATGTTACAAACAACAGGGGTCCCAGCACTGAAACCTGCAGAGCACCACTACTCTCAGATCTCTAATCAGAAAAACACCCTCCCACAGCCACTCTGTTTTCTATGATTAAGCCAGTTCTGTGTCCATCCTACTGGCTCACTGCGGATCCCATGTGACTTCACCTCCTGTTTCAGCCTGCCATGAGGGACCTTGTCAAAGGGCACGCTACAGTCCATTATAAACATCTACTGCCCTGCCCTCATCAATCATCTTTGTCACTTCATCAAAAAGCTTAATCAAGTTTGTGAGCCATAACCTTCCCTGCACAAAGCAATGCTGCCTATCACTAATAAGTCCATAGTTTTCCAAAGAAAAACGAGAACAGCTGCTGCCTGGGAAAATGGGAGCTGAGAATCTGGTGTAAAATTGTTGAATTCCATGTTGTGTCCTGAACATTGTGAAATGGAGAGACAGAAAGATAACATCCCATTCCTCCACTGGGACAGTGAGGTGGGTGGGGGATGGGGTGAAAGAGAGAGAGAGAGACATGTGTGTTTGTATCTGCGTGTGTGGGGGTGGGGTGTGTGTGTGTGATGGCGTGGTGTCGTGGTGTGTGTATGTCTGTGTGAGTGTGTATGTATGTCTGGGGAGGTACGTGTGTGTGGGTGCGTGGGGGTGTGTTGTCTAGTGGTCCGAGAGACCAGATTCAAGTGAAGAATCAAAGTGAAGGTGAAGGAGCTCTCAGACCACCTGCC